CGACAGCAAGCAGGAGCAACGCAGAGAACTCGTGCGAGAGAGAACAGGAGTTAAGGCAGACTCGCACAGAATCTACCCACTCGCTGGCCTGTGCAAACAACATACACACACACTTGCGCAAATACCGTGGAGATTAAACATCCCGCAAACCTACAGCAAGAGGATAAGAAAAACATAAAGGAGTATTCACCATATGAGGGTGTTGGGTGTCGGCGCGTAATCAACAGTCCAGCTGTCGCTGCGAAGTCGCTCGGAAAACACCGACGCATGAGGTTTACGGACACACCGGGCTGGTTGGTAGTCCCGACGCACGCTGAAGGAGAACATGAGAATGCTGTTAGTAGAAGACTGTGAGAAAGCGGAATATAGGGTTCAAACAATTTCACAGTATTTAGTTGGCCCAGCTTTGAAAATGTCAGCGGCCTCGGTGGGAGTTGAGGCCACGTGGCGGGGCCTCAGAGCTCAGGTGGCTAGAATTTTCGCTCAAATCCAGCTGAGGCCACCGAGTTTATCACAACTGTGTCAAATAAATTATTAAAATCTGCCAAACCGCCTACTAATTTCCAAGTGGATCGGAATCAGCTTTCATACTGTATAAGCAGCATTTATAAACGGATATATATGATGTCATAGGAATGGACAGTTCAAGAGTCTAATAAGGAATTGTTTAAAAAACCGGAAAATGCGCTTTTTAAAATATAACATTCAGAGAAGGCGTAATTTGTTATAAAATAAGCACAAAAATGAATTATTCGAAACAACCGAAATACGTACTAATTAAAGTCTAAAATAAGTCCATTTGAAACCTTTAAAATGAGTTTTTTTTTAAGTACAAATGGTTTTTCTCCCCTTTCTGTTCCGCGTCTCCTTAAAGGTTTGCTAGACGCATCATTTTTAAAGTATCCCTTAGTGGCAAGACTACTGTATCACAAACGCCTGTACTTTTACCCGAGGCTGTGAAATGGGTGTGACCCTGCAGAAAATGTCAGTCGTCTAAATGGATAATGGGACGGTGAGTGGTCGAAAGGTAGATCTGAACTGGAGCCATAGGTTTACGCGTACCGCCAAGGCAATTGACTTCTGCTACATCATTTCTTACATATTCATTAATACTTGGTCCTATTCCGAGAAAAAAATGATGTACAATGTGTCTATCCTTGTAAACAGGTAGGTGCTGCCTTTTTTAGAGTGGAACAGCAAAGGCAGAATGAGGCAGTGATGGCTTCGCCTTGGAATCAGTAACCACAGCGTGGAACGACTGTCCTGTCTGACACAGGACAGCAACGAGGGTCTAATGAACCTGCGCCTGCTTTTTCGGGGACCTAAATTTGCCCCCGACGTCGACACTTAAGCCGCCCTCCCCGCAATGACCAGCTCCGACGAGGTGAAAAAGAGGGTCTAAAGGGGGTTCAGCACACCCCCCTAGTGACTGTACCGAGGGCGAACAAGCACCAGTACCATCTCTCGATGAACGCACCTTCCTTGGCGTGCTACCGTCTGGGAGTCGCATTTTCAGTAATTTTAACATTTACCGCTTCTCAGCTACCTAATTTACAGTAGCAAGATGCCTAGGCAACGAAAAACTGTCAAAAGTAATACTCAAAATCAGACTTAAATGTAATTGGTGACGAGAACAACGTTACTAGAATGAGGTTTAAACATCAAACACGACAAGAGTGCTGGCTGCATCTCAGAGGTTGACCTGGCAACAAATGCTAATTCGGACGCGACACAATGAACAGGCTTCGGTTGACACGGATAGGCAGACGAGCAATACGGTCTGAATAAGTGCTAAAAAGCCCAGCTCGCCTGGGCGATGACAGTAAGCACATACATTTCATTTCAATTCCAACGCACCACCACCCTTTTTCGTGTCTTCAATTACTCTAATCACATTGCCACCGTATCGATCATGTTTGATAGCAGAGTCGTCGCTATTAATTTCCTGACCTTAATGAGGACAAGTCGATTTGATCAAAAGGTTCTTAGTTCCGACAACGTGTCTATTTCTATGTAATTTAACCTATGGGCTATATTTAACCGTTCTCTTAGTCCGCTTTAACAGAAGTAAAGTACTTTGGCTTTGATGCCCGCTAGGTGTAGTCTGCCAGCCTCTTCGGTAAAAAATGGTAATTAATTTACTACTTGAGATGATTCCGAGCTCTTTTTATTTAAATGAAGCCTTTCAGAATTTTGCAATTTGAGTCCGTAGTTTTCACGTCTGCTCAAGGGTGATGAATCTTTAAAGTACAGAATAGGCTTTGACGACAGCGTGACCGCTGAACACTAAATGCGGTTGTAGAGTATCAAACATTAGGAGGAATTATTCTTTTCAAACCGAACTCGGCATTTCCAAGAACTTCGACTCCGATTTGGTTGGTAACCGGGTTGGACCAGTAAAAGAACACTGCTTCAAGGGTTAGCGTGCACCCTAGGTAAGGCAACCAATGCCATTTAGCTTTATTTAATCCAAACATCCAGAAATGAAGTACCCTTGACGATATAAGTGCCTAAAGTATGTACAACAAATATGCTGCAAGGCACACGATAGCCGTTTGGATAGAAAATGGATGAGCTTAACAAGTAAAATCACGTACAAAAAGTTAACTGTTCAACAATATAATTCAGTGGAAAAGCGCGCTATCGAATACATTTCCTCCATTCACCCGCAGCTGTACATAAACGCAAGGACAAGATTAACTGCATCTAAAGATATGCTTTCGTATTTTCAAGGCCGCCAAAGAGCACGAACTCACCGACGGGCCTGCATAACCGTGTCGAATGTCACAAATGCAATGCCAATTGGTGTTTGTAGAGCTTTTTGGCGTTCCGACTGGATCTGTTGAGCGAGCTCAATGATGCTGTTGGAGTAGAAGGAAAGAGCATTAACCACGGGCTGATCACAGCAGGTACGGCAAGGGCAACACTTGGTCTTCTTTGATTGTGTGGCTACGTCTGTATCCGAGGAATTCGGCAAGATTGGTGTGGTCCCGGGAACGCATTCTGGAATCTGCTCCATGCAACCGCAACACATGCGACACTTCAGAGTGACGGCTCCGCAGCACACAGGTATCATCACCGCTTGTCCAGGTTCGCGCTCTGTGCTGCGACGAGCGCAGTCTAGAGCTGATGTGCAGTCTTGTCTGAATGAGGTGAAAAACAATATTCCAC